GGAGGGGGAGGGTAAGATGACAAAAGGAGGAGGAAGGCATGGTGAAAAGCGAATCAATAACCGAAGGAAGCACGAAATCTTTTACTTGTGACATCGAACACAAAGAATAAGACTGATGGGGCACAAGGTGCCGACAATGAATAAGGGAAAAGAATAACAAGAGAAAGAGACAGGGATGAAGGAAGGAAAAACGAAGAAACAAGGAGGGAAAGCGAGTGATGGATAGAGGGAGGGAAAGAAGAGGCTGGGATTGCGATGGATGGGGTTAGAGTGAAGGAGGGAGGGAGGGAGGGAGGGAGGGAGGGGGAGGGAGAGGGAGAGGGAGAGAGGAAAAGTCGACGAGCATCAGGACTCGCTCTGCATCATCGCAGTGAACTCGTCATGAAGGCGTCCGAACAGAGCTGAAGCTTCCTCGTCGAAGCCTCCCGCAAACTGGTGGCAGCGAAAGGCGAACTGCAAGAAGAACGAACGTCAGTGGGAGGAGAGGAGGTTGAGAGAGGTGAGGATACTTTGATGGAATGCTGCAGCAGCATCTGCTTCCTCTCGTCAGCAGCGGTCAAGGGTCATGCTGCATCTCACCTGCATCCTATGGCATGCCTGCTTGCCCTCCATCCCCGCCGGTCGGATCTCGCCAAGCACCCGCTGCATGCTGTACTTGGCGAGGGAGACGGCCACCTCCTTGAGCTCCAGGAGGATGCGGAAGTCGAAGGGAACCCTGTGCTTGGCGAAGTTCTTCTTGAGCTCTTCCTCGCTTCTCGCGTACCACTCGACTGGCAGGAGGCGTCAGCGGCAGGACGGACAGGCAGCATCTCCACCTGTGGTCTGCAGCGACGCGAACTTGTCCTCCACGGCCTGCAGCTCGTCGGCCAGCGAGCTCCTCTTGATCCACTTAGAGCCGAAGGGATCCATGGCGGCCTTGAGCTGCTTCAAGTCTTGCATCCTCCCGTTCGCCTCCCGCAGCACCTGCGGGATGGTTTCAGCGTGAGCATGCGAGGCAGGAGGAGGAAGGGGACCTCCATCCTCTTGTCCGGCCATGCAGCGAAACCTTTGAGGACCATGCGCTCGTCCACGAGCAGGGAGAGACGCTTCTCCACCTGGAAGAGCTCAGCGGAAGTGGGGGTTGTGGTAGGTAGTGAGAGGGGGGGAGGAAGGGGAGGGAGAAGGATTGAGGAGTGGGGTGGGAACCTGATGGGGGAGGAGGGGAGGGTGGAGAAGAGGGGGAGCGAGGAGGGACGAGTGTTGAGTAGGACCGCAGGGGTGGAGAGCACATGATGGTGGTGGAGGAGGGGGAAAGCAGGAAAGGAGGGGAGAGGGGAGAGTTATGTTGGACAGCATGTTACCTCCTGAACAAACAGCTGCAGGTCCTCGAAGTCGTCGGACTCGAACTCCTCGATTTGAGGGATGAGATCCTCTATCATCTCGCCGAAGATCTTGCGATCCTCCATAACCTGTTCGGGCTCAGACGAGGATGCATGCGAGGAAGTGGAGAACGAGGAGGAATTAGGGGGAGGAGGAGTGGGGGATGATGATCATGAGGAGAGGGGAAATGAGGAGGAGGAGGAGGAGGAGGAGAAGGAGTGGGAAGGGGGAGGAGGAGTCGGGCTGAAGGACGGAAGTACCTGTCTCATGTACGTGCTCTTTCCCTCCAGCTCGTCTTTGACCGACAACATGGACTGAGACCTGACTAGCTCCTTCCTCTCCTTGGACCCTGACGCCTCGTCCTCTTTCAGCAGCTCCTTCTCGGGGCTGCTCTTACACTTCACCAGCTTCTTCCTGGAGCTGGAAGCCTTCTTCCTGCTCTCCCCCCTCCCCTCCCCATTCATGCACTTGGTGATGAACTGATACTTTTGGATCACATCCCACGACTTGCTGATCTTGTTGCCTGTGTCCTGCATCGGAGAAGCGGTTCCCCCACCTTTGGTCTGTCCCGGACCAGAAAGAGGAGGGGGAGGGGGAGGAGGGGGAGGGCCAACCCCCGAGCCTTTCCCAGCGGCGGGTTTGACTAGAGAGGGAGGAGGCGGAGGAGGAGGCGGAGGCAGCGGAGGACGGGGGAGCGTAGCGGTTGAGGAAGAGAGAGGGGGAGGGGGAGGAGGGGGTGGTGGCACCGTCATATCAGGTTCTGAACCTCCACGGCCCTGACCTGGCGGTTGAAGCTTTTGACAGCTCGAGGCGGAGGGTCGAGGACTGGGTGACTGGAAGAGATCGACAGGGGTTGGCATCGCCCCTCCGTCCTTCTTCTCCTTCCTCCCCTTCAGCATGATCTTCCCCACGATCGGCTTTCGCTCCTGCAACGGGAGCCTCGTCAGGACTTTCAGTCTCGCACATCGGAGCTCCTCACCTGCTCTTTGCGCAGGTCTGACGCGAGCCCGATGCTCCCCCCGTCATGCTGGGCTGTTTCCTCCTCGTCTGCCTCTTCCTCCTCCAGCACTTCCCCACCATCTTGTCCAGCAGTGCCGCTCTGCGGGTGATTTGATCTTTCACCTGGATGGTAGGTCAAGAAAGATTCATCCAGGAACGACACACACCTTCAACAACCGATGCTCCAGAAGACGCAGGAGCAGAAGGAGTAGGAGGAGCAGAATCAGCAGCAGTAGTTTCTTCAGGAGAGCTTTGCTCGCTCGTTCCTTGTTTGTCATTTCTACTGTTGTCGTCTTTTCGTCCTTGCACGAGCTGAATCAGAAGAGTTGCACGCGTCAAGCAACCAGCTTGAGCCTAGCGGTGAAAACCAGCTCTCTTCTCCTCCGCGTCCTTGTGACAACCAATCTTTTCTGGGGTGTTGCCTTCCTGCAAGCCCACATTTCCTTCCCTGTTGCTGCTCGCATCAGCACAGTCGTCAGACTTCCCCGCGATCGCCTCAGCAGCTTTCTTGACTGCCAGAGATCGGAAGCGCGGACAGCCTTGTAGTGGAGGTGGAGTCTGCTGTGGCGGGGGAGTGCTGGTGAACATGCTGCGGTCATCCTTAGAGGCAGGTCGCTGCATCCTCTCCGCGGCCTTCTGTGTCGCATCCCACGGGCTGAACTTCGCTTCCTCGCCCATGGTCGGGCTGGAGCTGGTGGAGGAGGGAGACCTCCCTCCTGATACGTAGGGTGAGGGTCTTGGACGCGCCGGTTTCGGTCCCCTGGGAGATCTCGGCGTTGCCACGACTCTCTCCCCTTGCTGCTGTTGCGGGGAGCTTGCAAGGTTACGAGCGGCGGCGGCGGCGGCGGCGGCGGCAGGAGGAAGAGGAGGAGGAGGAGGAGGAGATCGTCTGTTGGCCATGAGGAGGAAACAGGTGGTCATAGAGAGCAGGCATACGGCAGTGATCAAGGTAGTTGGCAATGTCGCTACTTTTGCAGGCTCTGGAGGAGGAGGAGCAGACGAGTTGCTGCCCTGCTCGCTCCTGCTGCTCCCACTCCCACCATATCCGTGAGGGTACCGCGAGTTCAGCTTCCACTGCTCCTTGACGGCTCCCGATCTTCCCTTGAGGAAGTTCCTCCGGTAAGTGAGCGCGGGGCCAAGGGAGCAAATGGAGCGAAACAATCGCAGGCCATTCGCGCTCGAGCGAGCGAGGACCAGCAGCTTGTCCTGACAAGGCGGGCATCCAGCTCCCAGTCTCTCGCACAACATCGAAGCTCCGACCAGATCGCAGTTCCAGCAAGTCAAACCTTGATGGTGGAGAAGGTCTGTAGCCTGCATGCTTCTCAAGGCATTGCAGCTTGAGATCTTGTGCTGTACCAAGTCACAATGCTCCTTCGCCGTCAGGTTCTGCTGCAGCGGGTTGTTCCTGACCTCCTCCATCTTCTCTGAGAGGGGGTTGAACGGCAACGCCAGCTGCCTTGCCGAGTAGTTGCTCCAAGTCGGCACCGCTGTCAGCAGGTGACAACTCCGACCACGACATGTTTCTGTCAAGGCAGAGCTCGCGCGATGAGCGGGGAACAGTACACAACAGGAGTAGCACAGGGAGATGAAGACAACAATCCTAAGTAGGCTCGAGTGCTCTCGCACGAAGTTCACCATGAGTCCTCCATAACTCGTTCGGAGCGACTGGCCTCCATTGCTGTACACGGTTTCCCTGCCTTCGCTCGAGCTCGACGAGAAGTCAGTCTGGCTCTTACAACCAGCTCCATCTGCCCTGGAGCACTCTGCTGCCTTGGGTCTTGCTCCATTGTGTACCCCATTTACTTTGGTCCGATGTGAGTCAGCGGAGTCACAAAGCGGTCCACTGCGTCCTGTCATGGGGCCAGCGACTGAGTTGGTAGGCGATGCCTCTCCTGGATCGTTGGCAAACGCATCCGTCACGTAGTCTATCAACTGAGTCTCTATCAGCTTGTTTGCTCTATCCAGCGGAAGGGGATGAAGGAGGTAATCCACAGCGTTCCCCGAGATAATGTCGCTACTGCCTATGTCGCCCTCTGCTGCGCGCACGACAGGCTCCCTCTCATGGTTCCCTGCCGCGCCATCACCGTGATTGACAGCTTTGCCAGAGACTTGTCTCTCCAAATTCTTCCACGTGAGCAAGATAAGTTCATGCAGCGGGCTCATCTTCCATCCACCACCTGAAGCAAGATCCAACCAACCTCGCCGACGACGCTCGTGGGCCAATGCACAGGGACTGAACGGTTAGCCTCACCGATGCATCTTCAAAGGGATTCTATGCCTTCATCTGCAAAATATTTCAGAATGCCAATCCTTGAAGCTCATTCCCAAAGTTCATAGAGAAAACGATCGGATACTAGGAGGTTGTAGCCAGCGCGTGCAAGCACAGTTGTCATGAATTGTTGTCGAGAAAAAGGTGGGCACCAATGCTCTCCGCGCTATCTGATATCTCAAGTAACCCGCTTGAGCAAGATTTCCTCTTCTCCCCTATACACTCCTTCTCGTCCTGTATATGATACTGATCAGGGACCTGGTACTCCTTGTAAACAAGGATCGTCTTGCGACCGATTTCCAGCTCACAACACTGAAACTGCCAACTCCATCTGCACAGTTCTTGTCCTACTGCCATGCTATTTTCTCCCATCATCACCTCACCTTCTCCTCTCCCCTCCCTCCTCCCTCGACCCTTCCACCCATACTGTGAATGCCAGTTTGCCATTCAACAGCATCCCACCCACCCACCCCCTACACCCCATTAAAGCACGTGTACCCTACCCATAAGCATACATAACCTACCCCATCTTCAAACTCTCTTCATTACCCCACCCTCCATTTTCCCATGTCGATTCAGAGACCTTTCCTCCAAAATACCTATACTCGAATGAACCCTACCCTTCATTTGTTCCGTTATAAGTACCCCACCCCCTCAGAATCCTTCTGTTCTACACCCACCGGTGCACTCCAATATTGTTTTTGCTGTCCACTACCTTCAGGTTCCAAACCCCCTTTATTACCTCTTAAGACCCCCTTAAAAGCGGGTGGGGTGGTAAATCTTGTGGGGATGGAACCAGCTCACAACCACAACAGTCGCCGCACAGGGAAGGCGAATAGCTAAATAGATATTCCTCAAATAAATAAGTTAGCTGACAGAGAATATAGGCAGCACAATTCCCGGTCAGAATCCTGCAGACGTGATTTAAAGGTTTGAGATCAAGAGCGACGGCATGGCGAGGTGCCGAGGGCGAAAAGGATGCTGGATGTCGATGAGCGGGAAATGGACGATGAGTGAAGTCGAAGTGAAGATAGAAGACGAGAGTTTCGAGGAAGGAGGGATGAGACGAGCGGTAAACAAGTTCATCCTCCTTCACCCTTCTTCTACTCATCGACTTGCTCCCCACCCTCCGATGAAAAGTTGTTATGCCCTCTTATCTTTGAGCCTGTCACCCTGTTCTCGATGCCTCCTTGACCATAGTTTCATCCTTGTTACTATTGCGATCTGAACGTCAGCGCTGCGTCTTGGTTCCCTTAGTCTCGTCGACCTTCATCGTGTAATCGTTTTCCATTTTGTGAAAAATCTCCATGAGATCCGCATGTGATCAAAGATCTCCGCTCATCATGGCATTGCGATGCAGCACAGAATGTGGGAGATTGATGCGGACGGAACGAGGAGCCCATGGGTCGCCAAGTTTTACAAGACGAAGGAGGCCAAGGAGGTGTACTATGAGGACGCGAAGCTCAACATGATCGCTCAGAGTTACGCTGACGACTTCAACAAGCTTGCAAACATCAGAGAGAAGATCGCCTTCGTTCCTTCTTACGTGCTGGAGCTCTCGAATGGGAGGGTTTGCACGGCTGAACCTGTAGGTCACCTGGTGTTTGTCGTCTGAGCCAGTTCCCATGGAGGGAGTCCTTTCGGTCACTGTACGCTCAGGTGATGTGCGGGGAGTACGTGAAACACAACGACAACTATGGAAGTGTTACGACGAGCCTCAAAGCTCCGCAGGCTTTCAGCCACTTTACGTTCGAATCTTCTGGGTGCGTCCTCGTCCTTGTCCTCGTCCTTGTCCTCGTCCTTGTCCTCGTCCTCGTCCTTGTTGTTCTCATCTGTACCTGTCTGTCATTCTTGTCCTTGAGTTCTCATCCTCTAGCTCCAGCCCCTGCTGCAGCATCCGAATCTTATCCTCTTTGTCTGATTGTTCTCTTCACCTGGTCTTGTTGACACGTGCTTTTGCAGGAGGGAGCTGCTCATATGCGACATCCAGGGGGTGGGGAACTACTTCACTGACCCTCGTGAGAAGAGAGATGGAGAGACGAATCATCTGACATGTCGAAGAGATCCATTCGAAAGATGGCAAAGGATATGGGCTAGGAAACTGCGGCATGAAGGGGATCAACAAGTGAGAAGGAGGGAGTTAGAGTTTGGTGGCTGCGAGCAGCGAGTGCGATAAGAGGAGGGGGGAATGGGGAGAAGAGTTTGAAATGCAACCAGGTTTCTGAGTCTCCCTGCAGGTTCATTGAGACGCATACGTGCAATGAAATTTGCCGAGCTCTCAAGGTGAAGGATGTCGGAGGGGAGGGAAGAGGAGGGAAGTATAGGCAAGGCAGGGACTGGGGACGGAGATGCCAGGGAACACTTCGATGTCTCAAGTGAAGGATGGAGAGGAGAAACTTCGGAAGGAGAAAAGAATTCAGAAAGATTTTAGTTGGAGAATGGCAAAAGGGGGAAAGAGGTAGGGGAAGGGAAGAGATAAACTGACTCAGCAGCAGCTCGGATCCCTCAATCGAAAGTTAACCTCGCACTCTGCATCATCAAGGTTTCTAAGCTCCTGATGTCTTCGCGTCACAAATATCTGTACAGGCAATCCTCCTCTACTGTCTTCGCGGAAAGGTTGGCCAGGTGGGATGGAGGCAGGGAGGAGCAGCTGTGGGTTCCTGATGACCAGGGCAGGAGCGAACGCGATGTTGCTTGCAGCAGAGACGAGGAGATTGCTCGGCGGCTGCACAGACAACTGAACTTATGATCGCAAGTGACACGGCAAGCTGGCCTGGCAGTGCAACCAGCGATGATGGCGACGATGACGAGCATCTGCGATGATGGAGCTGAAGGAAAAGATGCGAGAACGGGGAGGATGGGGATACAGGTAGATCAAACCCACCATATGTGGGAGTAACGTCAAGCTCTGCTCACCGAGTAGTTCCGACAACATACCTGCACTTAACCTGCAACTGTCCAGCTGTCTCGCTTATGTCCTCTCACCAGCGTCTTGACCCTCCCGCTCCCTCCTCCCCCTCCTCTCTCGCATGCGACATCGTCCCCATCCGCCCCTCCTCCCTGCCCCTCCTGGACACGTACCCGCTGTCGTGCTGGTCTCGTCTCCCTCCCCCTCCCCCTCCCTGCCCTCGCCTTCACATCACGCCCTCGCAAGTGCAAGTACAGACAGCATTCGCTTCATTCATATCGTACACACGCTCTATCTTACATAAGGCCCTCCGCCCTCCCCTCGCTATCCTCCTATCTGCATCTTGTCCAGGCGTGCTCCGCTGCTCTTGTCGCTCCCCTGGGCCTGCCGCAGACTGGCGGCCGCTTTCGTCCTTGCTGCCAGGATGCTGTCTAGCGCCATGCCCTTGCCCGCTCTGTCCCCGCACGGTCTCGTCGCGACATCGGGTGCGAGAGGGGACCTCGGCAGCCTGGCGGGCTTGCTGCTGGTGTACCAGACCTCCTGCTGGGGCAGAGAGATGAGCGGGGAGGGGCGCTGTCTGTCAGCAGGGGCGGGAGGCTTGCGGCAGGCTGGCTGATGGCAGAGGATGAAGGCGGCAGGCTGGCACATGTGCTGGTTGGTGAGGGGGGGAAGGGGAGGGGAGGGGAGGTCTTTATAGAGGGGAGGTCGAAGGCGTCAGAAGGAAAGGAGGTGTTTTGCGTATCCGAGGAGAAGGGAAAGGGAGTGTTTTCGAAAGCTTATCCGGGAGGGGCATGGCAGAAGCGTGACTGAGAAGGTAGACTGGTCGCTGCAGTTAAAGGACGCGGCTTGACTAAAAGTTATCAGTACAAATCACCTCAGCCATACCGGATCCTGCTCACGTGTGTGGCTTTAAAACGTCAGTGACGGACCCCCGGGCCCGCTTGAGTCGGACTCGGACACCACCCCGGCGGTCAAATATCCCTGCAGTTAAACTCTCCACCCCACCATCTAAAAGTCCTCTCCACACCCACCCTTTCTAGGCTTCTGCCTTCTTCAATGTAGACCCCACCCCACTCCGTTTCTTGGCAGGATCAGGACCCCCTTTTCAACCAAATACTACCCCACCCTTCTGCTCTACCTTTAAGTTTTTTTTCTTCTTCACCTTCTTCGGACATCGAGCCCTGTACAAACCTTGCCCTCCCTCGCTTCTCGTCGGTAGTACTCCTCTTCCTCCTTCTCCCCCGACCTTTCAAGCATCCTTCTCGTTCTCACTGTGGTGGCAGACCATTCCACCCCCGCACCTGCCCCCGCCCCTTCCTCCTTCCTTGCAGAAACCTCTCCATTTGTTCTCCTTACTCCTCATCTCTTCTCCTCGAGCTCCTTTTTCCACTCGACCCGTGACAAGCGGATACTCCAACGCGATGTGGAAATCCCAGGATGTATGCACAGTTCCTGACATGCAGAGCTCAGCGGGAGTTAAGAGGGCCTTTGAAGAAAGCGTTTCTTTACCTGCGAGGCGAGCGACGTGGGTGTCTCTCCCTGAAAAAGTGACTTGGCACGAAAGTGAAAAGCCTGCATCGATGAGGTGTCAGATGCCTATTGAGCCGGCCAAGAGCCTCGACGGTCAGTGCAGGAGTGGAATGATACTAGGGAGCATCCTGGCTGCAAGGAAGAAAGTCCAGGCTAGTCTACTCGCAAACGCTCGATGCCAAGCAAAGGAGTTGTAGATACAAGGGAACAAACAGCAACCCAGGGTGTACAATGAATGTGAGAAGGCCGGCATCAACCGACATGTACAAAAGTCTATTGACGATGTATAGATGTATGATTGAATGAGCACAACAATCGATCGCTGCTTGCCCTGTATCTTTCTCTTCCCTTGATGACGTTGCGTCATGCCGGGTGAGCGTGGAAAACATGTCCTGCAACTGTCCAGCTGTCTCGCTTATGTCCTCTCACCAGCGTCTTGACCCTCCCGCTCCCTCCTCCCCCTCCTCTCTCGCATGCGACATCGTCCCCATCCGCCCCTCCTCCCTGCCCCTCCTGGACACGTACCCGCTGTCGTGCTGGTCTCGTCTCCCTCCCCCTCCCCCTCCCTGCCCTCGCCTTCACATCACGCCCTCGCAAGTGCAAGTACAGACAGCATTCGCTTCATTCCTATCGTACACACGCTCTATCTTACATAAGGCCCTCCGCCCTCCCCTCGCTATCCTCCTATCTACATCTTGTCCAGGCGTGCTCCGCTGCTCTTGTCGCTCCCCTGGGCCTGCCGCAGACTGGCGGCCGCTTTCGTCCTTGCTGCCAGGATGCTGTCTAGCGCCATGCCCTTGCCCGCTCTGTCCCCGCACGGTCTCGTCGCGACGTCGGGTGCGAGAGGGGACCTCGGCTGCCTGGCGGGCTTGCAGCTGGTGTACCAGACCTCCTGCTGGGGCAGGGAGATGAGCGGGGAGGGGCGCTGTCTGTCAGCAGGGGCGGGAGGCTTGCGGCAGGCTGGCTGATGGCAGAGGATGAAGGCGGCAGGCTGGCACATGTGCTGGTTGGTGAGGGGGGAAGGGGAGGGGAGGGGAGGTCTTTATAGAGTCTTTGAAGCCTGGCCTCGGACTGCCGGTTCAACCGGGTTTGGGCGCCGGGCCCGGCCGTCGCGCGGCCCCCCGCCGGGACTCCAGGACCGACAATGGAACTCGTAGCCTAGTAGCCTAGCCGTCGCTGCCGCCAGTACTCCGAGTCAAAATGAGTACCGTAGCACAGCCTCGGATTATCGTACGGTACAACACCAGATGAAAGAAAGGCTCAGCGGCTAGCGAGTCCGTACGGTCCACGGTCCCGTCGGCGGCGGACCGGGCGGGGCTGACCGTCACAGTAACCCGGCACCGTGACACTCAGGTTGTCTTCAGTGAAGTGAGGCCCGATGACTGAGTCACCTCACGCGGCGGCGGCGCCGTGACGGTGAACGTGGGCCTCCGGCACGGGAGCAGCCGGTGTGCCATTGAACCATGACCGGCGGATATGCTTTCGAAAACACTCCCTTTCCCTTCTCCTCGGATACGTAGTAGTAAAACACCTCCGCCTTCGACTTCCCCTCTATAAACAGCTCCCCTCCCTCCCTTCCCCCTCACCAACCAGCACATGTGCCAGCCTGCCGCCTTCATCCTCTGCCATCAGCCAGCCTGCCGCAAGCCTCCCGCCCCTGCTGACAGACAGCGCCCCTCCCCGCTCATCTCTCTGCCCCAGCAGGAGGTCTGGTACACCAGCTGCAAGCCCGCCAGGCTGCCGAGGTCCCCTCTCGCACCCGACGTCGCGACGAGACCGTGCGGGGACAGAGCGGGCAAGGGCATGGCGCTAGACAGCATCCTGGCAGCAAGGACGAAAGCGGCCGCCAGTCTGCGGCAAGCCCAGGGGAGCGACAAGAGCAGCGGAGCACGCCTGGACAAGATGTAGATAGGAGGATAGCGAGGGGAGGGCGGAGGGCCTTATGTAAGATAGAGCGTGTGTACGATAGGAATGAAGCGAATGCTGTCTGTACTTGCACTTGCGAGGGCTTGATGTGAAGGCGAGGGCAGGGAGGGGGAGGGGGAGGGAGACGAGACCAGCACGACAGCGGGTACGTGTCCAGGAGGGGCAGGGAGGAGGGGCGGATGGGGACGATGTCGCATGCGAGAGAGGAGGAGCAGGAGGAGGAGGCAGCCGAAGGGTCTTGGCGAGGTGAGCGTCACGTAATGTATGTAGAGCCGAGTCGTTGTACTCGCGTTCCCCTCCTCACTTGTTCTCGGCATCTTTTCCTTAGCCCAATCATACCGGGCATTGCTGCGGTGAAGTCATTGCGGCCGCTCATCATCCGATGATCATCCATTCATCCTGATCCTCGTCCTCAAGATCACTGAGTCCTCCTCCTCCTCCTAACTGAGTCCTCCTCCTCCTCCTCCTCCTCCTCCTCCTCCTCACTGAGTCCTCCTCCTCCTCTTCCCCCCCCTCACTGAGTTCTCCTCATCCTAACAGAGTCCTCCCCTCCTCCTCCTCCTCCACCTCCTCCTCACTGAGTCCTCCTCCTCCTCCTCCTCCTCCTCCTCCTCCTCACTGAGTCCTCCTCCTCCTCCTCCCCCTCCTCACTGAGTTCTCCTCGTCCTAACTGAGTCCTCCTCCTCCTCCTCCTCCTCCTCCTCCTCCTCCTCACTGAGTCCTCCTCCTCCTCCTCCTCCTCCTCCTCCTCCTCCTCCTCCTCCTCCTCCTCCTTTCCTACTGAGTCATCTTCCTCCTCACTGAGTCATCCTCATTCTCATCCTCTTGAGACGGTCATCCTCCTCCACTCAGTGACTCTTTTTCCGGTGGCCGCATGATGATCCTGAGAGTCATCATCATCATCATCATCATCCTTTTTCTCAACGGGATGAAGAGGCCTGAGCCTCGTGGCTCGCCCGGCCGGACCGCACTGTAGCGTCAAGTTGCGGCGCCGTGACTGATCAGACTCAGGGCCGCCTGGGCCCGGCCCGCCCGGGCCCGGGGGGCCCGGTACGGTACCCGGCGGCAAGCCGCTTTGCAGGGGTCACGGGTGGACCGGATCATTGATAACTGAATGTGTAACGTATGAACGATATAAAGGAGGTCATGGTTATGCTGACATGGAATGAAAGTTGTGCGAACATTGGTGGTTGATGATTCTAATGTCATTGTTGTTCTGGTTTCTTTTCACCACTTCATGAATCTTAGCATACAAGAGAAAAGCACGCAGGCTAAACTCGATTTCCGAGATCGGATTGAAATTCATAAGATATCCGATTTTCTGTCTTGCTCTGACTTTCCTCTTGTTGACAGCGTTCATTAAGATGTTCGTGTGCAGCTTGACTTGGATTCGTCTCCTTGCTCTCGTTTCCTTTCTTCCCCTGACCAGCTTTGCTTTTTCCGTCACTGGAAATCCAAGTAGTCTGTCTCTGCGAGCCTCCCGCCGGCATGCTAGCTCTTGCTCGATCAGCATGAACATGGAACGCCGCGAAGTCCTGGCTGGGCTCTTGTGCTCAGGCCTGGTGGCAGCATGGGGTCCTTCCGAGGCGTACGCGCAAGTTTCCTTCGAAGAGTTCATGGCAGAGAAGCGGAGGAAGGAGAAGCAGAAGGAGCTGAGACGGATGCAAGCAGAGGGTCTGGTCCCCGATGCTGACTCAAGCTCTGCTGGTGCTGCTCCATGCTGGGCTTCATGTCTGGAGACTGACGGGCCTTGCAGTCGACGGAGATATTTCTACCGACACTCCATCCCAGCCCTCTCAGAGCGTCCTGGATCAGTACAAGAATGTGAAGCCCGAGGTTCCCTGAGCCCCAGTTGAATCGCTTCATGAACCATGGAGAACCTCTAGGTGGATGCGGATCCGCTGAAGACAGCGATTGTGGCGATCTTGAGGATACAGGAAGCTACCTTGCAGGTAAGGTGAACGGTGCTCAACATACAAAGTGACTTGAATATGAAGGAAGCGCGCCTGATCAACACGGGGAACTTTCGTGATCTGCAGAGGAACAACATCAAGGTGCATGTTGGCAGGTGGCGGAAAGTTTCCTCATGGCGTCAATCATTGCAGATGGCGACCAAGATGATGATCGAAAACTACAAGATGAATGACATCATCACCAAAGCATCTGCATTCGCGAAGCCGAACCAGGTTGGTCAATTTCGTCGATGTTCCGGAGCATAACTCTCTTTCACAGATCAATGACTGCAGTCAGATCGGCAGAGAGGTCGAGAGGAGCTTGCCTCCCGCCATCGCTGCCAGTGACCCGACCTCTGCCAGGCTGTCCAGGACCTGCAGACCATCCTCGACTACTTTGACGAGCAGCCGAGAGAGCTCAAGGTTTTGCGATGACGTCATCGCCCCGCACTCTCTCTTCCTCTCACCCTCCCCTCCAGGTCTCAGAGCTCTCTGCGGACAAGAAGGAGTTTGTTATCAAGGCGCTGACATCATGCAGGTTGATAGGAGGAAGGAGGACTTCATCCCCCCCTCTCCCTCTTCTCCTACTCCTCTGCTGTCGTGACGTCCCTTATCCCTACTCGCCCTGCCTTCTACTGGCATGCAGCTTCGTCCCCTCCCCTCGACCTCCCCGTCAACTTTCGTTACCCGCCGCCGACTGATCTGCTCGCACAGACAAAAGTTGGATCAGTTCCTCTCCTACTTTCCTACCGAGAAGATCGCAGAGGGCAGGAAGCAGGTGAGAAAAGACATGCATGATGCAGGAGCCTCTCCCCGCTGAGTTTTCCACCGCAGGTGATGGAGGAGAACGAGATGAACAGGAAGGAGCTTCCTGCCGACATTCAGATCTTGAACCCTGTCTTCATGAACTAGAGCGTAGCATGCCAGACCTGTCGCAGTTGGCATGTCCCTAGGAACTCGGCCGTTTGTTAGAAGCCATTGAAAACTTGTCCGTCACGGCACTGCCAAGGCTACTCAATCTTGGCCGGGGCACTTTCCTTGACTTCAGTGATGGCAATCTCATCGTGTGACGGCGCCGCTGCCGGCGGGAGTCTGGCACTGCAAGTTTCCGACCATAGATGTCCAGAGGCAGCCTAGTAGGTGTACGCCGGGTTTGGTAGCGGCTCGCCGGGCCCGGGATCTGGCACTGAGTCGATCATTGTCCAAGTAGATCGGATAAGTCTGGCCTGACAGGAGCTGCCAAGCTAGTAAGGAAACAAGTCCGCCTCAGGCAGAGGCTACAAGAAAGGGAGAGGCAGCTGGGAGCCAGCGAAAGGCTAGGTGTGAATGAGGGGGATGAGATTTCTGGTGTTAGCTGGGGCTCTTTTGGGTCATATCGGACCCCCGCCAGAGCCCAAAAAGTCGTGGACGAGGAGGGGGTGGTGGTAATGACCATTGTTCTAGGGGAGCAGATGGAGTGGAAAATGGGGGTGGGGGTGGTGCCTCCCGGGATCCATGCCCCGGCTCCTGCTCTTGGCGGTGGCGGCAGCCGTGCTCATGCAGGCGGGGCAGGGAGGAGGAGATTCAACGGCATCAGAGTCATCCCATCATGCTTCCTCGATGATACATGCTCCCTGCTCCTTCATACAGAGGGGACGGCACGGCAATGACTGTCCCTCCCCTTTTCGAGTCATGGTCCTTGCGGTGGAAGACGGATCCAAGGAGACGAATCGCACGAGAGAGCTGCTGAATGCTTACAATGGCAGCGACCTGAGCATGTTTTCGATGCCCGTCATACATCACAAGGACGCTGGTAGGCTGCAGCAGGAGGGGATCAGGCCATCGGATATTGTGGCGGAAACATGGATGGAAGAAGACTTTTTTGACACCCTCCTCACGAGATCCGTTCTCTACCAAAGAGCCTTGGCAGATTCTGAGAAACATGGCAACTTATTCTTCCTCTTCATGGACCTGGAGCTTGCTGAGGTTCTCTTGTTGAGAGAGTTTCCGAGCATGATGGAGGAGGTGATGTCGTCGGTTTCATCGTTCGTGGATGTGATCAAGTTGGACATGTTGGAATCTTGGTCGAGTCGGAATTGGGTAGAGAAGAGTGACGTACATGCTATGTTGCATGGCAGAGACGCTTGTGCGAAGATTTTGGCGGGTATGGGCACCAGACTCCTCCTCCATCCCTCCTTACTTCTGCGGGATCTTGTCAAGAGAAAGAGGATGACGATGTTTTCCGCTCGGAGAGGAGCTTTCGATGTCACGAGAGGAACGGGAGAAATTTCTCTCGTTGCGTATGAGAGCAGAAGAAAGGAAGGAGCTGAGGTGACTTTTCTGTTGGAAACTTCTGTCTCCTCTGCGTACATCGTGAATGTCTCTTCCCTATCCCCGCATGACAAGCTCTTTTTCTTGTCCAGAGAGCTGTGGGAGTGTGAGCGGGAGGAAGAGAACGAGGTCAAAGAGGGGAGAGAGAGGGTAGAAGAGAAGACAACTTGCTCGGCTATGACGCAAACTGGCATGCTCATCCTGTTTCCCATCAGTCGGAATCGACATCTCCTGGGTCCGTATCACCATGTTGTGTGCAGCGACACAGCTTGCCAGGAGCTCAGGGCATGTTCAGACAGGTTCAGCATGTTCCAAGCGCAAGAGTTCGGACGGGATCATGCTTGCTGGGGGAAGACATCTTGCAACCTGTCAGTATCGGTCAAACCCAGCACAGTGAACGGACACATTCAGTCAAGACCCATCTCTCTGGTGGTGGAGGAGCTGGGGAGGAGGAGATTCGTGTCTGTGTGTTTCTTGATCCACGACGAGAGGAGGGTTAGGCTGAAGCCATCCATGAAGTTCGACTCCGCCGTCCTCTTCCTCTCCCAGCTGGAGTCGTATGAGGAGGTCGCCAAGGGCGGGATGCTGCGGCAGCGGCTGGAGCTGGCGAGGGAGATGTGGAAGTTGAGCATGACGAGAGGGTTCGTCTTCGAGCTCGTTGTCTTCTGCACCGCAAAGTCCGTCGAGGACGGGAGCTGCGAAAGGTTCTCGCAGGTTTGCCTGATGGGAGAAGATCGTGGGGCTCGAGGTGTGTGCGACGTAGAGTCATATGACCTATTTGCCTCCCCCATCCTCATCTTCCCCTGGAGCAAGGTGTCTAAGTTCTTGAACTTCTTGGAGGAAGGGAGAAGAGTAAGCCTCTCCTCCTCTTGCCCTCTCCCAGCAGCTGACGCCCAGCAGGATGAGGCCGGTAGCGTAGGTTTCTTCCCAGAGGCAGCTCTGATATCCTCGGCCATGATCGACCAGGGCAGGAGGAGAAGGGAAACTCTCCCGCTCCCTCCTTCCTCCCTCATCTTTGCTCCTGTCTTCCTCTTGCACTGCTCGCCGTCCCAGCACCAGCTGGAGTCCAGCAGGGAGACGCTGAGCAAGGTTGGTTTCACGACCATCGAGAGCGTGAGATGTGCGGCCCTGGACGGGATCTTCTCTCCCCTCGGTGAAAGCTCCTCATCAGGAGCAGGAGCAGCAGGAATAGCAGGAGCAGGGCAAGGAGCAGGAGCAGGAGGAGACCCACTGCTAGGAGGAAGGGAAGAAACTGCATTCGACCATGTGGAGCTCATAAGGAGGGCGAAGGGCGAGGGTCATTCTCTCCTCGTCCTCTTCCACTCCGACTTGTTCCTCCTTGACTCCCTCGTCAACGTCAACCGCAAACTGCGAGAAGCCCTGGGGGATGTTCCAGCAGACGCCCAGCTGCTCCTGCTGGAGACTTGCGACGAGCTCTGTGCGGAGAGGAGGTCGTCTCTAACCTCCTCGAGGTGGATGAGGATTACAGGGTCCTCCTGTGCTCACTCGGTGGTTCTGACGGCCTCCGGGATGGAGGAGGTGGCGAGGAGGATGGGGGATCCTGCGGAGAGCGCGCACTCCTTCCTTGCAAGGCTGATGGCGGATGATCTGGTGGTGGCGTACGCGATGAAGGATGCAGTGTTCTCTCGCAGCCTCTTCCTCCGTCCCTCCCTGTCGTTTTGCAGAGACATTAGAGCTGCCTCCTCCTCGTCCTCCTCGTCCTCGTCCTCCTCCTCCTCCTCCTCCTCCTCCTCCTCCTCCTCCTCCTCCTCCTCTGTTTGTCGAACAGGGGCTGTTTGCAGTACGATCGGGTATGAGACGGTGGATGTGCGGAAAATTCCCTTCATGATAGGCAGGAACTCTTCTGCCGCCAAAATCATCGTCTTCTCAACAAACTTGTACTCCTTTCCATCTGATGCAAGTGAGCGAGCAGGAGCGGGAGCAGAAACTGTCAGCTACTCCTTGTCGTCTTGCTCTGGCAGGAGGTGCAGGGCCTTGAATCGTGCAGACGGGAAGTTTCCATCCTACATCGGAGGAGGAGGACTCGTCCTCGAACTTCAGCAGGATCATGAGTGCTTCAAGGGCCCGACCTCCTGCCGTCTCCTCCTACAGAATGGCTCCGTGCTTGTTCAGATCTCCTTGCTCGATTTTCCCCTCCTCCGGCAGCTGCTGCCGCCCTCCTCCTTCGTCCATGCCCTCTTCATCCGTGGAGGAGCAGACTTCAACTTGTCTCGATGGCATGGTGATGACCGGCAGGTGATATATGATGATGATCAGGAGGAGCAGGAGAATGTGGTAGTGGTTGTTGTCGAGAAGGAGGAGGGAGGAGGGGCGAGGGGCGAGCGGAGAAGGGAGGAGGAGGAATGGGTCGTGAAGGAGGAGTAGATGACGTTGGTGGAGGAGTTTGCCTGACAATACTGCAGGTCTTCTTGTTCGATGACGATGAACAACTAGGACGGAAGGAGGAGCAGGAGCAGGAGCAGGAGCAGGAGCAGGAGCAGGAGGTTGGCGGCTGTCGCTCCCTCTACAGGAAGTTCTTGCTGAGCTGGCAGCTCTCTCAGTCGATTCCTCTCCGCACGTACGAATTTCTCTCCTTCCTCTCGGCAGACTCGCACATCGTGGACCCTCCTTCCTTCGCTGCCGTCTCCGACACGTGCTCGCAACACCCGCAGGCTCAGTTGTGCTTCACTTCCTCCTTTCTTCCCTCCTCCTCCTCCTCCTCCTCCTCCTCGGACTTCGTTCTCTCGGTGGAGGAGGCCAGCTCGCTTTCAAAGGCTGGCGTCGTCATGCTGAAGTGGAGTATGTGGGGAGAACTCTACAATCTCCTCGAGCAAGGATCTACCTCCTCCTCCTCCTCCTCCTCCTCCTCCTCCTGCAACTTTTCTTCCCTCCTACGGTCCGTCTTGCTTGGCTCAGCCAAGGACGAGATTACCTCCTGCCGAGGAGATGGAGGAGGGAGGAGGGGAGGAAGAGCGGGAGGGGCACGAGACTCGCACGTGTGCGTCGTCGAGGGTGGGCAGGTGAGATGTCAGAGGATGACGAGGAGGAGGGAGGAAGAGGTCGTTCCCTTCCTCGTCCTCCAGCAGCCGGACCAGCAGCGAGTCGTTTCCTCCAACGGCTCTCGGGTCCAGCTCTCCTTCATCCTCCACGGTCTCCCCGATGACTTTGCGTCTTCCTGCCAGGACTGGGGCATGCAGATCCGCTACCAGCAGCTCTCCTCTCCTCCTCGCTCCCCTTCCTCCTGCTGGGACAGGCAGCTGCCCCAGAAACGTCCTCCCACCTCCCTCTGCAAGCGCTGCTCCCAGGAGAAGACAGGAGAAGGGGAGGTTCGTTGCGAGGAGACGCTTCCTCTGCCTGCTGGGCTATTCTCCTTTCAGCTCCTCCTGCTTGACAAGTCGGGGGTGACAGTCGCCTGTACCCAGCGGACAATCTTTCATGTCCTCGAGAGGACGGAGGAGGAGCGTGTTCGAGACAGGACGCGTCCCAAGTTCCGGTGCGACGAGACGAGCATCAGGCAGGACGAGGAGGCGATGGTGCGCTGCCCTGCCCCAGCAGCGAGCAGCATCACTTTGGCGACCATCGCCAGCATCGACCGTGCGTCCAACGCCATGCACATTGCAGCTCACTGGCAGGGGCCTCTCTCTGTCGTCTTCTACGGCATGAACGAGGAGGAGAGGAAGGAGCTTGAAGTGTTCGTGCGAGAGATCTTTCTCCCCCTCTCCTCCGCCCGCTGCCAGCACGTCACGGTCAGGCTCTTCTCTTCCTGCTTCCTCTCCAACGCTTCCGCTCCCAGCAGCAGCAGCACGCTCCTCCTCTTCCCCATAAACTTCCTCCGCTGGCACGCAGTGAACAGCTCGGGGACAGACCTTCTGCTCTACCTCGACATCGACTTCATGCCCTCGGGCAACGCCTCCAATCTCGAGAGGAGGTGGGCGGAGCTCTCGGCGAGGAGGAGGAGGCCGCTCGCTCTCGTGCTTCCCTGCTTCAAGACCAAGACGCTCCCCTGGCCCAGGGCCGGCAACTTCTCCTTCCTCGGGAGGCAGCCGCGGCTGGAGGTGGAGGCGATCACGAGGGAGGAGCTGCAGCAGCGGCACAGCAGGGGACAGGCCTTCATGCCGGGGCTGCACGGCTCCGACCACTCCCACTTCGCCACGGACTATCGGCGGTGGTTCAGTCAGCCCGGCAGCAGCTGGGAGCCGTACCAGGCGCTCTACACCTTCTGGTGGGAGCCCTACTTCGTGCTCAACAAGTCCAGCTGGCCCGGGGTGCACGGAGGGGGTCTGTTCGACTCTCGCTTCCACTTCCTTGCTGGGGACAAGGCCCAGTTCGTCCTGGAAGCCGCCGCGAACTCCTTCGAGTTCTGGGTCCAGCTGGAGGAGTTCGTTGTGCACATGCCGGACGAGGAGGACGTCAACTGCCAGCTGGGCAGGAAGAGGCTCTGCAACATCAGCAGGGTGCGGCAGAAGACCATGCCCGCGCGGCTCATGACGGAGGGGAGTCAGAGCTCCTGGTGCTCTCAGTTTGTGGTGGACCATATCATCGGTTACCCCAGCTGGGACGACAACCTCCTCCAGCAGGACACCGAGCTGCCCTGCTTCGTGCCTCCCTTCGCCCTTCTCCGGCACTTCTCCCACCTCGAGATTTTCCGCCTCCTCGAGAAGTTCTGGGACGGTATCGCCGTCGGCATCGCCAGGCAGAACCTCCTCGCCGAGCCTTCCAGCACCAGAAATTTCTTCCTCCGCTCCCTCTGCTTCCAACAGCTGCCCGTCCTCGCCCGGCTCCACCGCGTCCTGGGCTCCTCCCTCCTCCTCTTCGACCGCAGGGCCCTGGTCGGACTGGGAGACTCGCTCAACGTCTCCTTCCTCCACTTCACCTCCGAGCCCTCCGGCGTCTCGCTCCCCCTCTCCCCCTCCCCCTGCCCCCTCCAGGAGGGCTGCGACCGGTTCCTCCCCCTCCGCCTTCATCCTTCCTCCCTCTGCGGCCACCCCCAGCTCTTCGACCAGCGGGGAGTCCAGCTGTGCGACCTGCTGACGGAGGCTGTCTTCCACGACCTCGGCACCAAGGTCTACCATCGCACCGCCATCCTCTTCCTCCCCCACGCTCTCCCCCACCTGCCCCCTCCCTCTCCCTTCCCAGCTCATCCCGAGCAGCTCATCGTCAACATGGATAGACATGACATATTGAGTAAAGAAAGATGACCTACTGACTCCCCCAGCTAACCCCCCAGCTAATACCGAACCCCTCGAAGCTGCCGCATCAGATGGTGAAGTGCGAGTCCAGCAGGCGCTGCTGCTTCAGCTGCTGGACGTCAGCTCGGGTGACTGCTGGACTTGCTCTCCTCACCTTTTCTGCCGTCTTGAGGCGCAGGCGCTCCTTGTGAGCCTTCTTGAGCAGCTCGTCCTGCTCTCCCTCAGTGTCTCTCCTCCTCCTCCTCCTCCAACCCCTTCCCTCCTCC